AAAAAAAATATTCTAGCGGGTATATTTAGCTGCTGGACGGTTTAAGGGATAGCAAAAATAGTTTTGGTTAACTAATTTTATTTTAAAATTTTATAAAATCACCTAAATATAACAAATTATTTTTTAAATTTTTTATTTATAAACTAATTTAAGTCTAGCCAACTATTAGTAAAAAAAGAAAGCTTAGATATAGGCATTTTATAAAAAATATATAGAGTATAAATAATATATACAGTATTCTATAGATCTCTTAAAATTATATATAGCATTTTTAAACTTTCTATAAACAAAGAAGGTCTTGAATATAGATCTCTATATTATTTACAGATTGATAGATTCTTTTAACAGATATCTATTATATAAATATTATAAAAGTTCAAATATATAATTATAATAATAATATAATCTTTTTTTAATAATTAAAACATCTTGAATTTTACAATTTTGTAAAATTTAAAAGTCTTTCAATAGCAAAATTGATTATTTTATTTCTAAAATATTATTGCTAAAAAGTTGTTAAAATTAAATAATTTTTAATTTTAACAAAATTTTAACAATAATATTTTAGTAATGAAATACTCAATTTTGATGTTTAAAAGCTTTTTTAAATTTTACAAAACTGTAAAATTTAAAAAGGATCTTAATTATCAAAATTGATTATATTGTTAGAATATATATGTTTAAATTTTTAAAAGAACTTTTAACTAATATACTCAAAATTTGGTGGTTATTAAATTTTTTTATAAATATTTAACAACAAAGTGATCAATTTTAATAGTTAAAAACTCTTTTAAATTCTATAAACATGTAAAATTCAAAATTTTCAAATATTAAAATTGATTTTATTATTAAGATATAGTACTCAAAAATATTTGTATAATTTTATATTTGATGATTATGTAAAAATTTTAATTATATAGTACTGTAATACAGAAGACTTAATATTCTGTAAAATCATCTTCAAGAAATTCTTTGGTTACAAAAATTTTAAGAAACTATGTATGATTTTGAGAGTTCTTCCACAAAATCCCGACATCCAAAATCTCGACAGGTCATAATACTGACATCACACGATATGACAATTAAAATTTAATGTGATTACTAATCTTTAAATATTGATTGTCACGTCTGGATTATGTTTCGAGATTTTGGATGTCGGGACTTGTGGTAGAACCGATTTTGAGAACTTATATTAGAGTGTTTATTTAGAATACTAAAATTAGTTTACTTAGTAAGTTTTAGAGTTAAAAATATTTTTGTATAGATATTTTTAAAGTTTGTTTAATATAAAGAATTTACAAAGAGAGTCATTACGGCGACTTTTTATACTACCCTAAAAATTATGACGCATATGATTTGACCATGATTAACTATTTAAGAGATATATATACAATATAAATAATTTAATCAATATTTGATTATTTTTTTACAATAAACGATACTAAAAAATTCATAATTATCCTTTTGATTCAATTATTAAATCTAAACATTCAAAACGTAGCTTTTTATATAAAGTTATCAAAGAAGGCACATATTCTAATAAATCATTATTAGCACATACTATTCCGCCAAATAAATATCAAATTCCCGACAATTATACAATAGAAACTACTTGGGGTAGAGGTCATAACTAATGCACTGTTTGATGTTTTATTAACTATAATATGGAAGATTTTTAATAAATAAATATATACCATAAACAGATCGATTTTAAAAAAATAGGAGATGGGTTTTAAGGTGGGGAGATGGGTTTGACGCAATAATTATATTAGTTTTATTAGATTTAGGGATCATTTTGATAGATGCGTCATGTGGTTGATACGTAATAATTATTAATTATTACGAAAATCAAATAGCAATTTGGGGTTCTTAATTTAGGTCCAATTATAAAAAGTCGCAGTGATGTTTATTTTTTTTGTCATTTTACTAATTTTAATAGTATTAATAAATAAAAATGAAATTAATTAAAAGTAACATATAACTTTGTTTTTATCTTAAATGCCAAAATTTTAATTATAATAACTTAAATTGATATAACTCTTTAAAATCAAAAGGAAGTGAACATCTATTTTTAACCAAATTGTGCTTAAGCTTAAAATTACAAAATTAGCCAAAAAAAAACTTTTAAAAAAATTTTTTAGATTGCTTCATTTTTGTGAAATATATACTTGTCTCGCACTATATAAAATGTAATATAGTATACTAGTTAGCTATAAATTCTGACCTCTGTATGTTTCATTACCATAATCGGTTCTCTATTAAGATCAATGTGATTTCTTAAATCTGCTGAGGACCGTGTAACTATTTAATTATTATCATTAAAAGTGTCAAATTAGATATATTTACATTACCAGTCAACTCTACTCATGTTCAATTACTCTATCTGTCAGTTAGGTCTTTCGACAATTACCTATTGTTATAGTATTGAAAATAATTTCCGGGTGCGCTGCTTTCGGCAGTTGAGTGCCGCAATTTTGGTGATTACCTTGTAAATATTTGCAATTGTAACAATAACTCGAAGTTGCACATTCAAGCCAAGATAGATATAGAAAAAATAAATTCCACAAATATTATACACTAATAAATCTTTGGTTAAAAAAGGTAAACAAAACAAATATATTTGATTATAATGTTACCTAATCGTGTAATATATTTCTATACTGCGCAATGTATCATAATTTGTCATTGTAGGCTAATATATATATATACGCCATGTTTATTCGCATTATATGTAGGATGTCGAGATTTCTTTCATTTGCAGAGATACGTTTAAAATCAGAGAATAGTAAAACTATTAGTGTGTTTATCTAATTTAATGACTTTTACATATCATTAAATAACAACCATTAAACTATATTATATTGTATAGAACATCTTCATATTTATAAATTACATATTACAATACTATTAAAAAGGTCTGAAAAAAATAAATAAAATGAGTGAAGATATAAGAAACATATTATTAATTGGTCGTACAGGCCAAGGCAAATCATCCTTAGCCAATACAATAGTAAATGATGAGAAAAGTTTTGAAGAAGGGGGTGAATTCAAGGAAATTTTTAAAGAGAGTGATAAATCTCTTAGTCAAACTAAAAAGATTCAAGAAGAAATATTTAATATAGAAAGAAAAGTAAATGGAAAAATGGAGAGTGTGAAATATCGAATCATTGACACTGTCGGAATTGGAGACACATCGTTAAGCCAAAGAACAGTGCTAGTTGAGATAGCTAAAGGATGTAAAAAGGTCAAAAAAGGGATAAATCAAATTTTATTTGTATGCGGAGAAAGATTAACACCCGAAGAAATTGTAGCTTATGATATATTGAGAAATATTCTTTTTGACAAACAAATTGATAAGGACATTACTAAGTATACAACTATTGTTCGAACGAAATTTTATAATTTTGGACATGAAGAGGAATGTGAAAATGACATTCAATCATTGCTTGAAGAGAGTAATAGGGCAATTGTCGAAGTGATTGAATCGTGTGATAAGAGGGTAGTACATGTAGATATTCCACCAGTAAATATAAAAGGGGAAGGAAGACAACGTCAAATTAATACTAACAAAGAGATTCGTAAGGAAGCCAGAAAGAAGTTACTGAATCATTTAGCAACATGTCGAGACGCTTACATACCAGAGAGTTTAAATAAGATCAACAGAAGAATTGACGATTTATTAATAAATGAATATGAAAAATTGAAAAAACAACTTGAAACATCGCAAAAAAAGCTCGAAAAATTGCAAGAACAATTAAATAATGCGATGAAGAGGGAAGAAAGATTAGTGTCAGAAGCGTCAGAAGAAGCGAAAGGATCGTTTCAAGAACAAATAAATAAGGTATTGAGAAGATTGTCATTAAAGGAAAGAAGAGAAACTGATGAACTAAGAAGGAAAATGGATGATTTAAGAAAGGGAATGGATGAAATAAAGAGGAAAATAGACGATAATGAGAGATCCATAGAAACTGGCCTTTTTGAGGCCATTGGTAGAGGTTTGGATAAACTGATAGAATTATCATCAGTATTAGTAGGAATAAAATTTGATGTTAGCAATTGCCAAATTTTGTAATTAGCAATACGATAATTATTTATTTTCAGGACTAGAACTTGCATCATCTTATATAAAAATAATACAATACACGGTTAAGAGTTTATACTGTAACATGGAAATTTAAAGTGTATACACGCTTTGCATTTATAATAATATTCTAGATTTTTGAAAAATCCACATTTATTTAATAGAGATCCAACAGTTCGTACATGGATTTAATTCATGGTGCGAAGCTTGCTTGCTTATGAGAATATTATTGATACCATATAATGCAAAAATGACTATGGTCTCCTATTATTTATTAAGATGGCCTTAATTCTGCTTGTATTAAATAATAGAACCAACGTCTTGTTTTAAAACTTCGTTTGATAGTGAAAACATAAAATTTTAAATTTTAAATCGTGATATCTCTTAAATAAATAAATGGACACAAATAGAAAATTGCACTTATTGAATTTTCTTAATGTGTTGTTTTCTTCTTGGCATATATAAAAATAAAAAAAGCATCACCTTAAATAAATATGATAACTGTAATTTTAATTTATCTGTTTATTGGATTACTTAAATTTTATATCTTTTCGTATCTACAATTGTTAATAAAATCTTTGTTAATAATCATCATTATGTATGTTTGCGGACATTCTAGTAATTTACAGAAGTTTGCATAACTAATCAATTAGCAAATTGCGCCGACTCATCCAACACAAGACAACGAAAATTGACTATACCTCATAGGCAGAAGTTTGTCTGATTGGCTAATAAATTCGATTTAATTTTACATTATTTATACAGTTTAGAGTACTTTTCAAAAAAACGAAAACTAATCATAATGAAGCTGTATAGAAGGTTTCATTAGAGCTGTAAGACTTCATAGCCAAAAATAATCTCTAATTCTCGTCCGTTTAAAAAAGTTAGCATAGTAATAACTTCTCAGAACCCAACAAAATCAACTTATTACTAAGCTAATTTTTTTAAACGGATGAGAATTAGAGATTATGTTTGACTATGGAGCCCTACAGCTCTAATGAAACCTTCTATACAACTTTTTTTATTTCATTATGATTAGTTTTTGTTTTTTTTAAAAGTACTCTAAACTGTATAAATAATGTAAAATTAAATTGAATTTATTAGCCAATCATACGAACTTCTGCCTATGAGACTATACCACTAAATATATTAGGATATACTAGGAACGGAGTGTGAATGTTGTGTACAAATCCAAGCTTTGATTGGTACTGTACGTATCTCCTTTCACATGTCATCTAGGCTTGTTCATCTTGTTTTATTATATTTGTACACACGTACGTACGTAAAATCGACACATTAACACGTACTGTTATGTACGTACGTACGTACAAAGTGTGTCACCATAAATGTACAGATAAATGATAAATCGATTCGGTTTGAATCGATTATCTACACCACCAGCGATGATCATAATCGATATAATCCGAAGTTTAGAGATCAGTGTACAGTACATTGTAATTTAATGTGAGGCTATAAAAAGCTGGAATAAATTAGTATATGGGATCTTTGCTAGGAAAATGACCCTCCGAAACTATGCTAATTTTGTGAATAAACATTAAATTTGCCAACCATCTAGTTCCAATTTGAATGAATTTTTTTGATTTTGTAGTTTCTATTGACATTTACAAAATAAAAAAAAGTTCATTCAAATTTGATGACTAGATGGCTGGTAAATTTAATTTTTATTCACAAAATCAACATAGTCTCGGAGGGTAATTTTCCTAGTAAAGATCCCATATAATAATTGACCTATTAATTTTAGTTGTCTGGGGCGTAGAGAAATATGAGTGATCCTATTTTTATTTTTAGTAACTGCTCTAATAAAATTTTTAGCTTCGGATATTCAACAGAGCTTGTTTTTTTAGTACTAATATTACATTACTGTATTATATACCAGAGTAACTAGTTTGAAATTAGTATGCCTGAATTTAAATTTAAAGGTGTTATACATAGTAAAATTTTATTATTCAAAATATTAAAACGGTTAAGAAGGATTTACTAGTAAAAAAAAAAGTCATGTCATTTATAACGAAAATAGGGTAATAACGGAATTTAACATTTGTTAAGCCTATTCCGTTATATATGTATAACGAACATTTAGGCATATTAAGCGGCCTTTGTACCAGGTACTATCGACATACAGACAGGTTTAGGCAAAATAATTAAATTTATAAAATTTTAACAATAGTTAAAATATACAAAGAATTTTAACTATATGCTTTCTAAATTAAAACCAAATTTAAATATGTTTTTCATTGCATATTTTTATTTTAATAGAAGTTAGACAAAAATTGAGCTTATACAGTACTGCAGTACGTTGAAATTCAAAATTATATATCACTAAATAAATTTATACTTTTAAAGCAGATGTCAATATAAGGTGAGCAATAAAATTTTGATTATAAACAAAGTAAATTAATGATACTTACCAATACAATATCAAAGACTTATTTAAATCAATATTTAATTTATTATTTTTATTAATATAAACTATTTTTTAAATATTATTATTGTGTATACATATTAAACCTATGATAATGTTTTTAATTTTTAATATAAAAATTTATTAAGTTTCTTATTTTTATTTAAAGCCTTGATTTATGTTCTTTTGTACAAAATTAATGGTAGAGTATAGTAGATTATTTTTTCTATGATCTTGATGATAATTTTTTTTATTTTTAATATTCTAAAAAAAATTAAGTTAATAACTTTATTTCTAAGTTATAGAATAGGTTTTTCTGATTCTAACGGTGATAAAATCATTAAAATTGTTAAATATTTAATGAGAAATATGTATTTAAAGATTTGGTATCATTTTGTCATATGGGGTGCATAAAACTAAAACACGGCTTATGGCATTTTTTGCAAAAATGAGTTAACCATACGGTCATATAAAGTAGGTACTCTTCTAGATAATTTGATATTTAAAATATTGATTTACATAATAAAATTTTTGTCAATGCCTTCTTTTTTAAATCTTATATGGTTAGCCGTGATCTAAAATTATCCGATAGTCTTGCTGCAGGGTCATAGAATTGCATTAGTGTGATTGGCTAATTTATGTTGATCCAACAGGTTATACTAATAATAGATCGTCATTGTTATTGTTACACGAAATTTTAAACGTGATTTTCTCAAAATTTAAAAAAAGCCATAAGCCGTGTTTTAGTTTTACATATGGGCGAATCGGTGTAATTGGGCCTTAGCTAGAGACACAAAATTTTAAGTTGAACCCCTTATTTTCCTATATTTAATTGGTCAAATGTACAGAACAATTACTCGATTGTACCTTAATAATTTAAAGCTATATCTTAAATAATTTTAAGGATATAACGGTTATGCATAATCATGCGTCTAACCCAACCCCCTCAGCCCAAAACCCAACTCTTTCCTATTGGTTAGAGCTCTACTTGGACATGTTATTTGACGTCTGAGCCCTACTAGGACGTATCATTTGACATCAATTGTGTATTGTTATCTTTAAAAAAGTAATTTGTGTAACTCTTCTTTATATAAAAGAAATACTTTCCTAATTGTTATTAATGAAAAGAACATAAGATGCCTTTTAAATATAAGTTACGATTATCCAATTACGCATATTCGCCCATATGATGCGCCCCATATGATGATCATACGATATAAACCAATCAAAATCAACAATTTTGTGTAATCAGAAAATTTGGAAAATTCCCAGAAAATTTATGATATATGCAAGTATATTTTTTTAAAATATATTATCTATTAAAATTTATGCTATTAAAAATGATTTAATCTGTATACTGTAAAATTTTAATAAAATTTGAACATAGTTATAAAAAGTTTTAGTAGCATCCTTCAATTTTTTGTAAAATCGTGATGTATCGTGCAAATCATATGACAAAATGATCTACATATACTTCATTTTTTGTGTAAAATCAAATCTTCTTTTGTATAAATTAAATATGCTTTGTATAAAATTGATATCAAAAGAGATATATAGAATCTTTGCTAGGAAATAACCCTCTAAGGCTATGTTGATTTAATGAATAAAATTAAATTTGCCAACCATCTAGTTATCTAATTTAAATAAACTTTTATTATTTTGTAAAACTAAATAAGCTCTACAAAATTAAAAAAATTCATTCGAATTGGATAACTAGATGGCCAACAAATTTATTCTTATTCACAAAATTAACATAGCCCGGAAGATTATTTTCTAGTAAAGATCACACATATATTTTAAACCTTATTTTAACTTATACTAAATATTTGTAATTATATTCATAATATCAAATATAATAAAAATTTTGTAATAATAATGGATATTTTATTAAGATCTACAATATTATAAATATTTCATATTTTAATGAATATATGAATAAAATTCTATATTATTAAATTTTATGCTTATTTCAAGTCAAAATTGAACATGACAATTTGTAAAAAATTTTCAGTTAGAATGATATTATTAATTTTTATTTGAAATAAAAATAAAAATTTTAAATAATTTATTTAATCCTTCATTTAAATTTTTGTTAAATTTAGCAGGTTGTGATCTCGCTGGTTAATATATATTTAAAAATATTAAATTGTTATTAGTTAGGGTTAGGGTTCAAGCTAGTATTAGGATTAGAGTTAGGGCCTATATATATGCAAAATTAAGTGTTGAAAACTTTTAATTAGAAGTCCAAGACTAGTTTGCATAATGAAAGTTCGAGAAATTACTGTATTAAAAATTTTTGATTTTTCTTAATTTTTCCTACATATTTAATAATATTCTTAATTTATATTTTTGAATCTCCGTGAGTTGGAATTGTATGTGCATATTTACGTTTTTTACACCACCGATAAATAATAAATGCAAAAATTGTAATCAAAATACTACCTATAGCTGTTCCGATTATGGATCCAATAATTATGCCAGTACTAATACTATACCCATTTTGATTAGAACTTGAATTAGAACTTGGATTAGAATTTGAAACAGACGATGGGTTAGGATCGAATGATTTAACCCATTTATATTCAGAGTCGTTGCTAATATCGAGAATATTTATGTCAGGATTTACATAATTTTGTAAGAAGATGATGCCTACAAATTTGGTTATTAATAATAATAATATAATAATAGATCAAATATATTTAAATGTGAATACGCAAAAAAAAAAATAATAATAATAAAAATAATACTAATCCAATATATTTTATACATACCGTAAGTAACGATCATATATCTTCCGATTACATTGGCAGTATGGCGTGATGGTGTAGGTGGAATAGTACCAGAAATATCTGGTATAAGCCATTCGTATGGTTTGTTGCGTATATCTAATACAGAAAGGTCATGAGCTATTGGGGAAGTTTTAACTTTAAATCCTCCATAAACGATAATACGATCATTATTTATCCCTAAAAATACATGTATCATACTGTAAGTATATTTAATATTAATAAACTAATCTTAGAGATGGTTTGCCTTACCAAGCACCGACGTATGATGTGCACGTGATATAGGAATAGTTCCAGTGGTATTCTAAAAAATGCATATTATACATCTCAATTTCCTAAGCTTTGACTATAACATTCCGATAAAAATTTTGATTTGCTAATAATTTATAATAAAGTATAAATAATTTAGCTATTTATTTCTTTTAGCAAATTAAAATTTCTACCTATACATTTAATATTGTTTACCATTGTTTCCCATGCATCATTTTTTGTATCATATAAATATATCTTATTGATATACAATAAATTATTAAATAATTGAAAAGTATTAACAAAGAAATAAACTAAAGAATAAACTATATTAAATATCAAACCTGTTTTAAATCTGCAGGTCCACTAGCTACATATCCACCTATGTAAGCAATAATACCGTTTGGCAGTAAAGTAACAGAATAGCCATCCCTCGATGTGGGTGCCTGGAGTTGAGATCCTTTTGACCAAGTTAATCCGATCGTATCCAAAATATCCATTCGATTATCAAAAGTCCAGTTCGAATTTCCTGTCTCAATATTATATGACCCGCCAAAAATGTACATTTTACCTGTAACATCAGTGATTGAATAAAGGTATTCGCGTCTAGGTGGTTTTATTCCTTGAATAACAGGATTATTCCATACATTTCTTATAGTATCGAATGTGTAAACTAAAGGAGTATCATCACTAGAATTCTCGATTGCTCCACCAACTAAGAAAATAATATCTTTGTATGGACCGCCGGCGGAAACAGCTGCTCTACTATGTTTAGGTGTACCAAAAACATTGGATAGATTTGTCAATGGAATATTTATCGTATTAAATGCGACAGAAACATCGAGATAAAAGAAATCTTTTGTGGGTGTAAATTGATTAATATTGCTTGTATCACCACCCAATATATAAAGTTTATTCTCAATTAATGT